TTTTCATTTGATTTTTGTATATGTTGAGAGATAGGGGTCTGGTTTTACTCTTCTGCATGAGTATATCCAGTTTTCCTGGCACCATTTATTGAATAAACTGTCTTTTACCCAATGTATATTCTTGGCACCTTTGTCGAAAAGCAGTTGGCTGTAAATGTGTGAATTTATTTCTGGGTTCTATTCTGTTTTATTGGTCTATGTGTCTGTTTTTATGCCAGTACCATACTGTTTAGGTTACTATAGCAGCTCTTTAGTATAATTTGAAATCAGGTAGTGTGATGTCTCCAGTATTGTTCCTTTTGCTCAAGATTGCCTTGGCTGATCATGGTCTTCTGTGGTTCTATGCAAACTTTAGGATTTCTTTTCTGATTTCTGTGAAGGATATCATTGGTACTTTGAGAGGAGTTGCACTGAATTTGTAGATCACTTTGGATAGTATGGACATTTTAACAACATTAGTTCCTCCAGTCCATGAGCATAGCATATCTTTCCATTTGTTTGAGCCCTCTTTCATTTCTTAGTTCAAGTGTTTATTGATTTCATTGTAGAGATCTTTCACTTCTTTGGTTACATTTATTCCTAGTTTTTTTTTTTTTCATAACCATCATAAAGGGGATTGCTTTATTGGTTACTTTTTCAGATTGTTGGTTGTTAGTGTATAGAAATGCTGCTGATTTTTGTATGTTGATTTTGTATTCTGCAACTTTACTGAATTTATTGACCAGTTCTAACAATTTTTTTGGTGGCATCTTTTTCTAAATATAGGATCACATTATCTGTGAACGAGGATAATTTGATTTTCTCCTTTCCAACATGGATGCCCTTTATTTTGTTCTCTTGCCTAATTGCCCTGGCTAGGATTTCCAGTATTATATTGAATAAAATTGATGAAAGTGGGCATCCTTGTCTTATTTCAGATATTAGAGGAAAGACTTTCAATTTTTCTCCATTTAATATGATGTTAGCTGTGGATTTGTTATATATGTCTTTTATTGTTTTGAGGTATATTAGTTCTATACCTAGTTTTTTGAGAGGTTTTATCATGAAGGCATGTTGAATATTGTTTAATGATTTTTAGCATTTATTGTAACTATTGCATGGTTTTTGTTCTTAATTCTGCTAATGTGATGTATCCATTTATTGATTTGCATATGTTGAACCATCCTTGCTTTCCTGGGATGAATCCCACTTGATCACAATGAATGATGTTTTTAATGTATTGTTGAATTCAGTTTGCTAGTATTTTGCTGAGAAATTTTGCATCTATGTTCATCAGGGATATTTGCCTATAGTTTTCTTTTGTGTGTGTGTCCTTGTCTGATTTTGGTATCAGGGTAATGTTGACCTCATAGAATGAATTTAAAAGTACTCCCTCCTCTTCAACTTTTTGGGATAGTTTGAGTAGAATTGGTGTTATTTATTCTTTAAATGCTTGGTAGAATTTAGCAGTGAAGCCATCAGGTTCTGGGCTTTTCTTTGATGGGAGAGTTTTTTACTGCTTCAATCTTGTTACTTGTTATTGATCAGTTCTGATTTTCTACTTCTTTGTGGTTCAGTCTTGGTAGATTGTATGTGTACAGGAGTTTTATCCATATCTTCTAGACTTTCCAATTTGTTGGCATATAGTTGTTCATAATAACCTCTAATGATTCTTTATGTTTCTGTGGTATCAGTTGTAATGTCTCCTTTTTCAACTCTGATTTCATTTATTTGGGTATTCTCTCTTTTTCTTAGTCTAGCTAAAGATTTGTGAACTTTTCTTATCTTTTTTAAAAACCTACTTTTTATTTTGTTAATCTTCTTTTTTTTTTTCTATCTCAGTTTCATTTATTTCTGCCCTGATCTTTATTATTTCTTTTCTTCTACTGATACTGGGTTTGGTTTGTTCTTTTCTAGTTCCTTGTGATCCATCATTAAGTTGTTCATTTGAAGTCTTTCTACTTTTTTCATGTAGATATTTCTTCTCTCTTAGCACTACTTTTGGTGTATCCCATAGGTTTTGGTATGTTGTGTTTCCATTTTAATTTGTCTTGAGGAGTTTTAAATTTTCTTTTAAATTTCTTCACCAGTCCCTCCATTGTCCAGGAGCATTTGTTTTATTTCCATTAATTTGTACAGTTTTCAACATTCTTTCCAATATTGATTTCCAGGTTTATTCCAGAAAAAATACGTTGTTATTATTTTGATTTTTTAAAAATTATTAAGATATATTGTCTATCCTGGGGAATGTTTTATGGAAGCATTCCATGTGTTCTGGAAAAATATGTGTATTCTGCAGCTGTTAAATGGAATGTTCTGCAAATATCTGTTAGGTTCATTTGGTCTACAGTGCAGTTTAACTCTCATGTGGTCTACAGTGCAGTTTAACTCTCATGTTTCTTTGCTGATTTTCTGTCTTCACAATCTGTCCTTTGCTGAAAGTGGGGTGCTGAAGTCCCTTACTATTACTGCATTGTAATAATACAACACATGGTATTATAATCTCTCCCTTTAGGTGAATTAATATTTGTTTTAAATGTTTGGGTGCTTTGGTGTTGGGCGTATATATATTTAATTGTTATATCCTCTTGCCGTATTGACCCTTTTATCATTATATAATATCCTTGTTTTGCTTTTTTTTTTTTTTTAACTGTTCTTGACTCAAAGTCTATTTTCTCTACTATAAGTATAGCTACTCCTGCTCTTTTTTGGTTTCCAGTTGCATGGAATATCTGTTTTAATTCTGCCACTTTCAGTCTGTGCATGTCTTTATAGGTGAAGTGGGTTTCTTAAAGACAGCTTATAATTGGGTCTTTTAAAAAATCTTAACCCATTTAGCCACCCTATGTTTTTTTTTTTTTTTTTGGAGAATTTAATACCTTTACATTCAAAGGTATTATTGATAGGTAAGGATTTATTACTGCCATTTTGTTACTTGTTTTCTGATTTCTTTGTGGGTCCTTCCCTCCATTTTCCCTCTCTTACTGTCTTCTTTGTGGTTAAGCAATTTTCTCTAGTGATACCTGTTGATTCCAGGCTGTTTATTTTAAGCGTCTCTGTTATATATTGTTACTTTCTGGTTTCTATGAAGCTTACAGAATCCTCTTATAGTTATAACAGGTTATCTCAAACTGATACTGACTTGAATTTGATTGCAAAGTAAATAAAGTAACAAAACAAACTCTACACTTTAGCACCCTTCATTTTGATTTTTGATTTTTCAATTTACATCCTCTTATATTGCTTATTTCTTAACCAATTGTTGTCGTTATTTTCATAAAACAGTTTTGTCTTTTAGTCTTCTTTCTTAAGCTATTAGTGGTTTCTTTATCTCAATTACAGCATTAAACTATTCTAAATTTGTCTGTTTTCTTTCTTTTACCAATTTGTTTAGTATCTTTAGATGTTTTCATGTTACACATTAGCATCCATTTCTTTCAGATTGAAGAACTCCCTTTAGATTTCTTGTAAGGCAGGTCTGGTGTTGATTATTTCCTCAGCTTTTGTTTGTCTGAGAAAGTCTTTATCTCTCCTTTGTGTTTGAAGGATAGCTTTTCTAGGTACAATATGCATGGTTGGCAGTTTAAATTTTCCTTTAGCACTTTGAATATAGCATCCTTATCTCTCTTGGCCTACAGGGTTTCTGCTGAGAAATCCACTGCATATCATATTGAAGCTCCATCAAATGTGATATTTTTTTCTTTCCTTTTGCTGCATTGAGTATCCTTTTTTTGTCTTTGATTTTTGCTAATTTGATTATGATGTGTCTTGAAGAATTCCTCTTTGGACTGAATTTGGTTGATAACTTCTGAGCTTCTTGTACCTAGATGCTGTCACCCTTCTTCATATTTGGGAAATGTTCAGCCATTGTTTCCTTAAATATGCTTTCTAAGCTTTTTTCTCTCTTGTTTCCTTCAGGGATTCCTATTATGCAGAGGTCAGTTCATTTAATGGTGTCCTGTAATTCTCATAGGCCTTCCTCATTCTTTTTAATTCTTTTTTTTTTTCTCCTTTGATTGGGTAATTTCATATGTTTTGTCTTCAGTCTCATTAATTCTTGCCTCTGTTTGATCAAGTCTGCTGTTGAAGCTTTCTAATGAGTTTTTCAGTGCAGTTATTATACTCTTTATTTGTAGGTTTGCTATTATTTTAAAAATTGTTTTCACTTCTTTGTCAAATTTCTTATTTTGTTCCTGGATAGTTTTCCAAATTTCATTTAGTTTTCTATCCATATTTGCTTGAGCTCTCTGAACTTGTTTAAGAGGATTATTTTGATTTCTCTCTCAGACATTTCATGGATCTTCAATTCTTCTTGGTTCATTGCTGTAGCTTTGTTGATTTCTCTTGGTCATGTCATCTTTCTCTGAGTTTTCACAGTTTTTGTATCTTTCCATTGATGCCTAAGCATTTGAGGAGACTGTCACCTATTCCAGTGTTTGCAGATATTCGTTGGTGGTGTTAGACCTTTACTACTTACTATCAGAACTTAAATGCTGTTCTGTTGTTGCTTCTCATTTTGGGGAGGACTTATGGTGACCTGAACTGACACACTGCAGTGGAACTAACTAGTTGCCCTACTGTTGTTTCCTGGCCTGGGGGAAAGACTCATATTGAACACTGGAATTTAAATGCTTCTCCATAACTAAATTGTTGCCTTCACATTGTTTTTGAGTCTGTGGAAAACTTATAGTGAGCACTGGAACTTAGATGTTGCCCCAAAAATATATTGCTGCCCTGCAAATATTTCCCAGTCTGAGGAAGACTTAAGTTGGCACTGTAACTTAATTCTGACCTTTTAGTTGTTTCTGGGAAGGGAATGCTCCACACAAGCACCTGGGCTTTATGGAACATCTGGCCAAGGATTTGGGCTTTCCTGTAGGTTGTGACCCTTGCAGTGCTTTGGTGCTAATCAGTCTCTTCAACTTGGGATCTCCACTTTATTGGAGTGCAGAGAAGCTCTCAAGATCCACTTTCCAGTCATTGTGATTAATGCCCTGCTTTTTGTCCCCAATTCACTGCAGGTGGTTTAGCTCTCCTGGAACTCCTGATGATTCCTGTGGGACAGGACAGGAGTAGGCTTCCATAAAGATTTGAAGATCAATGGAGAGACAGAACATGCACCTCCAATTCCCTCCTCTCACCACAGAAATCTTGAGTTTAAAGAAATCTCTGTGAGTGGTATTTTGCTGGCTTGGGAAAGGCAATGGCACAGTCTGAAATGAACAATTCTTTTTACCAGTTGTGACTTCTCTCAATCCTGTGGATGTGGGGGGGGGGGTCTCCATTTCTCCCCCAAGTTCTGGAGAATTCAGAGTGATATTCTTGTCTTTGAATATTTTCTAGTTATATTTTTGTTGGGGAACTGATGTTGGGGAATCTTATACTTCACAATCTTGCTGATGTCACTGTACTGTTCATATTTCTATCAGCATCCTAATCACAACCACTTATGCAATAACTAAGGAGTTCCAAACTTTCTTTAGTCTTCTTGTCTGCCAAGCCCTCAAAATCTAGATTTATCTAGCTTGTTTCTACAAATTCTTCCAACCTTTTTCCATCACCCAGTTCCAAAGCCACTTCCACATTTTTGAGTATTTGTTACCAGCAACACCCCACTTCTCCGTACCTATTTTCTGTATTAGCTTGTTTTCTGTTGCTTGTAACAGAATATTTGAAACTGCATAATTTAAAAGAAAAATAATTTATTTCTTACAATTATGGAGGCCAAGAAGTCTCAAGTTGAAGGGCGATAACTGGTGAGAGCCTTCTTGCTGGTGGAGCCTCTTTGAAGAGTCCCAAGGCAGTGCAAGACATCACATGATGAGGGGGCCGAACATGTTAGCTCAGGTTTCTAGTCCTTGTCTTATGAATCCACCAGTCCGGCTCCCATGATAACCCATGAATCCATTAACCATTTAATCCATTAATTCATGAATGGATTAATCTGTTCATTATGGCTAAACCCTTATGATCCAATCACCTCTTAAAGGCCTCACCTCTCAAAGTTGCCACATTGGGGAGTAAGTTTCAAAATGAATTTTTTGAGGAGTCATTTAACCATAGCAGGGTTTCAGATTTGCAAGATAAAAAGTCTGGAGATCTGTTTCACAACATGTGAACATACTTAACACTACTAAACTGTATGCTTAATGGTTAAGATGATAAATTACAGGTTATGTGTTTTTTACTACAATTAAAAAAACTATGCTTGTTATAAATAAGTAGCTCATTCTCCCTTGTAAAATTTACTACCTGTTTAAATTGCTCAAACTGAACCAGTGACTGAACTGTGGTCTTCTCTAGGGTACTTAAAATTACTGAAATAAAAGAATAAGTATGTAAAAAGTGCAGTGGCGCGATCTCGGCTCACTGCAAACTCCGCCTCCTGCATTCACTCGCCATTTTCCTGTCTCAGCCTCCCCAGTAGCTGGGACTACAGACGCCCGCCACCATGACTGACTACTTTTTGTATTTTTAGTAGAGACGGGGTTTCACCATGTTAGCCAGGATGGTCTCGATCTCCTGACCTCATGATCCGCCCACCTCAGCCTCCCAATGTCCTGGGATTACAGGCGCGAGCCACCGTGCCCAGCCTGGTAATGCTTTTAAAATAATTCATTTATTTAAACTATGACACAAAAAAAGAGGTTTTAAAATCTTACTCAGGTACTGTTTAAAAATAACAAATATATTAATTACTTGATGTCTTTACTATATCTAAAATAATTGCTGTATCAGAGGTAGGGACACAGTAAAAGAGGTACTATTGAAGCTAGTATACAATACTGCAGATACTGTTGAAATACCTTAGAAGTACTATTGAAATATTTTAACAGAATAGCACACTAAACAGACTGACTGAAGTTCTTATATAAGGATCTCATGTAAATAACAACAAAATAATAAGAAGTTCATCAATTCCATAAGAAATAGATACAAAATTTGGATGCCAAAATTCTTTTTTTTTTTTTTTTTTTTTGAGATGGAGTCTCGTTCTGTCATCCAGGCTGGAGTGCAGTGGTGTGATCTCGACTCATTGCAACCTCTGCCTCCCAGGTTCAAGTGATTCTCCTGGCTCAGCCTCCTGAGTAGCTGGGATTATAGGCATGTGCCACCATGCCTGGATAATTTTTGTATTTTTATTAGAGATGGGGTTTCACCATGTTGGCCAGGCTGGTCTCGAACTCCTGACCACAGGTGATCCTCCTGCCTCAGCCTCCCAAAGTGCTGGGATTACAGGCATGAGCTATCATACCTGGCCCGGATGCCAAAATTCTTAAAAGAAACAAGGGGAGTTATCTCATTATGAACTCCATAAGACTAAGATCTGGCAAAACTGGATCTTGAAATATGAGATGAAACCTCAAATTGACACTTGCCAAAATTCTCCATTAAACAACCCATCACAGTAGGGATAAATTTGCCACAGTATTAAACAGTGACCAGAAAACTTCTGTAGTATAGCAGAAGACATGTCCAGTTCATGCATTATGTATATTAAATTAAGCTCAGTATGGTTTCAGGATGATTCAAGCACATTACATTTATTGTACACTTTATTTCTATTAGTATCACATTGTAATATATAATGAAATAATTATACAACTCACCATAATGTTGAACTAGTGGGAGCCCTGAGCTTGTTTTCCTGCAACTAGACGGTCCCATCTGGAAGTGATGGGAAACAGTGGCAGATAATCAGGTGTTCGATTCTCATAAGGAGTAAGCCACCTAGATTTCTTGCATGCGCAGTTCACAATAGGGTTCACACTTCTGTGAGAATCTAATGCCACCACTGATCTGACCAGGAGGCAGAGCCCAGGTGGTAATGTGAGTGATGGAGGACAGCTGGAAACACAGATGAAGCTTCGCTTGCTTGCCCACCACTCACCTCTGTGCGGCCCAGTTCCTAACAGGCCATGAACTGGTGCCAGGTGTTGTGGACCTCTGCTCTAAGTAATAGTTTTAGCATCCCCAAATAGATTTATATAATTTATACAATTGTGTTTATTAATGTGTACTAATCGGCACAGTTATTTCCTGGGTAAGTTGAAGTATTTCCCTATCAAAAATCCACAGCTCTTACTATGGCAGAAAACAAAATAAAAACAAAACAAAACAACAAAATAAAAGCACAATTAGATTTTGTGTTACTTACTTAGAATATTCCAATTGTCTAATACACAGACATATTTAATTAGAATACTTATTTATGGAATGCTTACATAAAAGCTATGTAAGGCTTTTTCCATTAGTTATAAACTTTATTGTCCTTATAGTGATAAGGACACTTAATCCTCTGAAAAAATGAAAAGATCCTTGACCCAACTGAAAAGTTACATCTGCTAGATATGTTAAATTGAAGTTCTCCAGAGAGCCTTCAGCAGATGGTTCACAGAAGTTGACTGCTAACCCAAGATCCTCAGAATAAGCTAATGATTACATGGAGTAGATAATTTTGGCTAAAGATCATTGGAAGAAGATTCTTCTATATATCACACTCTCTATTGCATATTCTTATATATTATATTTGTGGTAATACTATTCTCCTTTATTGCTTAAAGTATTATACTTCTGACTTAGCCTGTCATATTCACTTTACTAGTGATAATAAGTTACCTATGTCTAGACCAGAGTTGGCAAACTATGGCTTACAGACCAAATCTGGCCAGCCACCTGTTTTTGTAAATAAAATTATTTGGAACACAGCCACAGCCTTTTTTTTTTTTTTTTTTTAACATGTTGCCTATGGCTGTTCTTGTGCTACAACAGCAGATCTGAGTTGTGACCAAAAAACAATATATGGCTCACAAAGTCAAAAATATTTCACATCTAGTTTTTTTACAGAGAAAGTTTGCTAATCCTTGATCTAGGTAATTGTCATTATAACTCTATAATTCAGTTCTTCCAAACTATTTTTAGCTCAGCCATTTAAATAAATGATGTGAAGGTATGTTACTCTGACTTTCCAATAACAATACTCTTTGTCCAAGAAGCCTAGTGAGAAGGAAAACAACAACAACAAAAACAACAACAAAAAAAAGCCAAAAAAAACGATACTCTGAATGCAATATATAAATGAAATAAAATGTCCCTGCACCAGGGAAATTACAAAATACAAACAATAACTATTTGTCAACAGTACTCAGAAACAGTATATCTGGAGTTCCATCAATGTTGAATTATCTCTTGTATATCTTTTTGTTATTTTTTTCTCTATAAAACAATGAGACTCTTTAATGCCAATATAGGACCAAGATTCATTGTTCTGTTGAATTATTAGTTAGGCCATTCCAACAGTGTAATTTCTGTGGTAGTCAGTCTCCAAGATAGTACCTAATGATTTTTGCTTCTTGGTATTCATGCACTTGTACACTGTACCTCTTCCACACTGTGCCAAGGTTGGTATATGTGACCTCTGTGGCAACAGCGGTAGTATGTCACTTCCAATGTTAGGTAATAAAAAACAATGTATTTTCTGCCTTATTCTCTATCATACAATTCACTCTAGGGAAAGTTAGCTGCCATGTTGTCAGCAGCTCTATGGAAAGGCCCACGTGACAAGGAATTGAGAAATCTTGCCAACAGCCCATGAGAAACTAAGGCCTCCAGTCCACAGCCAGGTGAGGGAGCCTTCTTGGAAGTAAGTGGATCCTATACTCTATTCCAACCTTCAGAGAACTGCAGCCTTAGCTGACATCCTGGCTGCAACTTCATAAGAGACACTATTCCAGAACCACTCAGATAAGATGCTCCAAAACTTATAACCCTCAGGAACTATATGACATAATTTTCTTGTTTTCAAGCTGCTAAATTTGGAATCATTTGTCATAGAGCAAAAGATAACTGATACAATTTAGCTCCCCAACTAAATTCCCCAACATCCCAAATGAATTATATATCATTTCAAAGAGTACATAAAACCCTTTATGGAGAGAGAATTCTGAGAATAATGATCCTATCCACAGGAGTGAAACTACTAGAAGCTTTCATAAAAAAATTACTTTGGTTGACGTAGTAAATAATACATCCCAAACTGTGAGGCACAGCAAACACAACAAACCAGTTTAAATTCCTTAAACCAAGTCATTATAAATAATAGAATTGTCTTGGATTTTATTTTGACCAACCAGGGAAGATTCTTTACCATTGCCAACATTGTGTATTATACCTAAACACTTCCGGTGAATTGGAATAATCTATCTCTAAGCTAAAAGAAAAGGCAACCTGGCTACCTAAAATAGACTTGGAAAATCTTTGAGACTTGTTTTCGTGATCAGGTCTGGGAAATCTGTGGTCACGGTTCCAAAACATCTGCCAGGCCTTTCCAGTTATACTTATCTCACTGGTGTTCAATGTCTATGTTCCAGAATCTTAAATGCTTGTGTGCAGCCACCATCCTGACAAATGATTCAACAAATGATTCAAAGACAAAAACCAGGATGCAATTATTTTCATAGACATGTAAAACTGAAAATCAAATATCCACAGATGAAACTTCACCTTCGAGGAGAATCCCCAGCAGGGATAAAGAGCTGCACAACACTTGATGTTTTCTCCTGCAGCTTTGATTGAACAAGGACCAGTAAGAAGGACTAACAATAAAGAGGTTCCTACAAACATAGAAAAAGACTGTTTTTTTTGTTGTTGTTGTTGTTGTGTTGTTTTCTGTAGCAATGGAAACAAAATAGCCACAAGAACCAGTTTTAAACCCATTCAGTTGATCAAGAATAACCTGCATCAGTGAGCCCCTCTCGCATGAGTCAGCTCGCCGGGGAAAGACTCACTCCAGTAAACACACCTCTCAGTGCCAGCTAATCAGCAGCAGTCTCACCTGAGTAACTGAGCTTCCGCAGATGTTGTCCAACCACTCATATCCCTGAAAGTCTGTCAATTCCTAGCACTTCACGCTTCCCCTAAAGAAAAATCCGATATAAGGCTAACAGTCTGCTGTGCCTGACTGGCATAGCCCTCCCTGATTATAGGAAGCAACACATTCAGCTTTGTCTTGTCAATATTTTTGATGTTTAGTGCTGGTCTCATGATTCTTTGACCAACTCCCCTGATTCTTTTATCATTTTTTTAACCTCTTCCTGTTTAATACTATTAAGAGTAATAGTAATGATGATGATGATTTTGTAACCGCTACTCACCATATGCCATGCACTGTGACAAGGGCTTTCATTGTCTTAATATCTGGCTACCAGCACTTCTTAGATTTTCAGGTAGCACTCACACCTGAGGCTATTCCTGGCTTATTCCATGTGCCAGTCTTTTGCTAGTTGTCTTCGATTCACTCCTCATCCTTTCTCTGCTCTGTCACGGAAGGCTGACTCC